TTGATGATGCTAAGTAAGTTTGGTGATAGTGTATGATTATGTGTTTGTTCTAAAGTGGTGAAGTGGTTTGATCGATTCTAATACGTTAACACATTGTGAAATGGTTGGTATTCGGTATTATGTATAGGTGCTATCACTGACAAAAGAACTTATTGGGTCAAAACTAGATGACAAGCGTAAATCTAGATTTACTTTGGATGAATTTTGAACAAATTTAACGATGCCTAGGTACATTCTGGAACTTCTATTGATCATTCTCTATTTCCAATAATCTATTCACCCATCTATCCTTTCAGATCTTTCCACCTCTTTCGAGATCCACCCGAACATCCAAATCTATCTATATCATTTCTCAACCCCCCCTCTACATATTAGACCCAATCATCAAAGCTACCAAATCCGAATCTTTGGGCAACTCTGGATAATCCATGGGAATAATCCCATATCGTTTCTTGATTCCCCAATTGAAATTTAGGCGGAGCGTTGGATTCATGCCTTGAACAAATGCACCGATGAGTTTACTATGCGCGCCTACTGCTATCCACTGGAAGATTGAGGGTTAGTGATTTCTCATAGCAGGAGAGGAAACAATTCGAGAAGCTGAAGAAAAAAAAAGAAGAAGAAAAAAAACATACATGACTCTCCGCCACCTCACCCTTCCGCACCGGATCCCCCACCGCAGACATAAAATTCACAAACCACTCATCCCTCGCTCCCTCTCTCGCCTTCTTCAACATCCGCACCACGTATTCGTATTTACTCTCGACCAACCCTTTGAGCGGAATAATATCAGAGTATTCCCACTTATCTTGTAGATGGATCGTCACGTTGCTTTCTGTTCGGAGCGTGAAATCGGGATTATTATCTAGCCAGCCGCTGAGATCTAAGCCCATTTTTTCTTCAGCGGAGAGATGGGGAGCGCAGTCGTAGCGTCGCAGCAATACTGCTTTTCCCCGCGCGTCGCCGAGGGTCTCGGGTTTGTTTGTCGTGAGCCAGCGAGGTTTGCCAGAGGGATAGGGCGGGATGGATGTGATGTGTTTTGCGACTGCGCTGTAGAATACGTTGGGAGGTTCTTTGTTGGATGTGTCGTCGTTTTTGATGGAGATTAACACGGTTTCTTGACTGTGTTGAGAGAGGAAATCAAAGACTTCCTGCATGACGGAATCGAATTTGAGATAGAAAGGTAGGTTGATGGGGATGCCGCCGTGGTACATGTAGAGCTGACCATCTTCGGTGTGGACGCGCACGCGGAGATCGAGAAAGCGGATGCCGGCTGTGAGTTGGGAGGCGATGGAAAGGTATTGCGTGCGCACGAAGGGGATGTTCGATTCTGCGCAACCTGGAGGGGGGGCGGGGCTTGTTAGGATGGGTATTTGTTGATAAGAGAGAGGAGGAAATCTTACTATCGTGGGTTCCTGGGATAGTCATATCTGATAACAAAGTATCATCCGGGATTTCGGCCATCCAAGAGCTGAGCGAGTAATCGAGCAAAGATCGGGAATACCACAACAACTCTCTACTCTCATCATTCGAATTGAATATACAATTCACCCTTCCGTTCAGCACCGCCAACTGCGGAGGATCAAACGAAGTCTGTCCCGCGATCGCTTCTTGCGGATGCCACATCCCATCTTTAAACTCGCTCATGTAAATCACATGCGAGGTATCTCCGGGGCCATTTTCCTGAAAAGCCAAAAACGCACTATCACCATAAGAAGTAGCCGAGACACCCTGTGCTGCTTTTCCCTCACTCACATCATCACAACCATTCCACACATCCTCCGGCAACGAATATTTGAAACCGAGAATCACACGATCCTCCTCCGCCGAAGAACAAAGCGCGTGCAAATCCCCATTCAACACAAACACCGCGGGGATCCCAGATACTTTGCTAATCCCGCTTACTTCCTGGGGATACTTCCATTCTGGCTGGTCTTCAGAACCTATCGTCCATGTTGAGTAATACAAGTAGGAATTCTGGATATACACCAGCATCAAATTATTATGATGGCTGATCAGCGCCGGTGTAGTATTCGTCCAGAGTCCTATTTGCTTATCTAGAAGAGTAGGAGATGCCCAAGATTTCTCCACGTCGTCATATTCGTAATGAGCGATTTCTCCATCTGCTCTGACGATGACGGCATGCAGACGACCGAGGAGCTCGGCCATGACTGGGATTCCTTGATCGGGAAAACGGAGACGCGTCTGGAAGGTGTCGTTGTCGCCGGTGGCATAGTAGAGATCGCCGGATGGGTCGCTCCAGAGACACCAGAGTGAGCCGCGGTGGGTGGCGATGGCTGGGACGGCGGATGTATGGCCGTTGGGGGTGTCTTGGACGAAACTGGATTGGCCTCTGGAGATCCAGGCCATGATGATGGGTTTTAGATGAATATTTTTGATACAGGAATGTGTATGGTAATGTACTCAAAAGCTGTCTCCAATTGCTTCAAGATAATATCTATACAATATTAGACAATTCCTGTCAATAAGAAACAGAAGATACATACAAACCAGCGGTGTCCAAAATAAATCCAATTTACATTACACGAATCCTCAACCATCCAAAAGCCAACACAACAACTCCAGACAAACAGGAGTGCGTATAATTCGAGTAAATAGAACCCTTAAGCGAAAAAAGAGTGAAGGTGCACAGAAGCATTCATATCGAGGAGCGATGCCAAGCTTTTATATTTCATCTGCCGAACGATTCGAGGACTCGTGTACGTTTTAACGCTTGCATCGGCCCGCAGGACTGTTTCAACTGCGGGCGGGGGCTGGGCTCGGGAAAGCTCCATTTTTGCAAGGTTTGTTTGGCCTGGACGGTGAGATGAGAAGCTAAATTGTCGAAATCCACTTTGGATGCGTGGAGTGGGTATCACGTGATTATGGTACTTGGCTTGAGTATTTTGTGTGAGACGTTGAATCGATTCGAAAGGCTGAGAGGAGCTTTATTGTGATAGGTTGAGGGGAGAGTATTAGGTGCATTAAGAAGAGAAGAATATGGTGGCTTTGTGTTGGAAAGAAGCAAGTTTTATTCATGAACTCAAGACGGAACTCACAGCTGGAAAAGTAATGAAGCTTACTTTTGCATGCTCTCTCACTATCTATGCCCGCAACCTTTCAATGACTTCTCAAGTTCTACCCATATTACTGAGCCTTTGATACCCTCCATCTATCCTTAGTTCTGCATCATAGTAATATTGGAAGTGGAATTATAGAAGCTGCATTTTAGAAAGCCTCCTTAATGAAGCTCTCCCCGTGAAAACCCATGCTAATCAATGCCCTTCTTTTCACACCCTCTTCATTTCCGATCAAAAGTTTCAGTGTCTCCTCTGCTCGCTCTCCGTCATCTCATCATCTCTTACGAATGGAATAATATTGACATCCAACTGGATTCGCTTCAAATCAGGAACTGCAAAACTATTGCTTTACCTTCATAATATTGAGAGATCTGTGATATGATTTGTACCTATCAGCAATGCATAGGAACTTTCAGATGTGTCACCGCATTATTCTCACTGGATCTAAGAAGACGTGGGAAATCTGAAAATGCTGATGATGAGACAAAACCCATTGACAGCTTTAGATTTGGCCAATCATATTATTATGTATCCACTAGAATATCTCATCACTGCATTGTGATTCAAGTTATACCGAAACCAAGGGTATCTCCGCAGCCAGATGAAGCCCACCATATCCATCATGAATCGTATACTAGACCTCCGCTAAAAAGAACAAGAAGAAAATCTGGGGTATCCTAACATCAAATGACGTCGCTCCAAATATGTCCCGCATTGTAGCTCACTATAACCAAGCCCAACTTCCAGTAACTCTGCCCTCTGCTTCCAATGCCAACTTTTCAAAACCCGTTATGCTTAAGTCTAAATCCTCGGCTTTACATCCAACACATCTATCAACAACCGTTACGTCAATAGTATTGTTTCCGCTTCCCGATTCCTTCTGTCGAGTGATTCTGATCTTTTTCCCACAGAGAGGATTGGCATTGGGGTTCGAACTTGTTGAAGCGGCATCAAAGATGATGTGGGACACGGCGCAGATGGATTCAGATGATGAGGATGTAATTCCACATGCGCCGAGACCGGGTGCATAGTATGTAAGATCTCCTGTAAATATACCACCATTTGATGGAAGAGGTAATGCTTTCGACCTTCATTGATAAATTAGTACGTGATTCCGACCAATTGAATAGCAGCGTTGGAAGGAGTGATTTGTTATGAAGAAGGATTCATGCACAATTTTTTAAAAAATGATGAGCAATTGATATGTAATGAATTGCTAAATACACGTACGATGAATGCTTCAAGCCAAGACCAAGACCCAGTCCCAGGATCAATGCAAGTAATAATATAATTGCTCCTACAATCAACAAAAGCACCTTGCGACTCCGTCCAAAATATGTGCGATTCGCAGGCAATACATTATTGAATCGCTCAACCAATGTAGGTTTTCCAAAAGATCCTGTCGCAACAGCATTTCCCGATGAATCCGAAGATCCCTCTTTCGTGGTGGGAAGAGTTGATTCCGGTTTTGAAAAGATATTATATTTGCTGAGCATGGATTGCTTGGGTGTTGGAGTCTCCCATTCTGGAGTCTCGTGGATCGTGGTTGCCATTATGGAATATTATATCTATCGATCTTTAAGGAGAGACTAGATGCGCATTATGATATTATTGGAGTAGGTGATATGTCCAAAGAGATAGAATTATGGAGTAGAAAGTGGGATGTATCGAGACAAATTGGCTTATAAAGATTCGAGATTAGAGAAGGGAAGGGTGGAGAAGGGAAGGGCTAACAAACGTTTGGCACCTGCACCTTGTAAATTTGGGGAAATACAGTCAGGGGCTATCGGGGCTATGATTGGCTGTCCGCAATCCACTTAAATTTAGTAAACTGGGTCCATGTCCATGCTCGACTCAAGATCTCAAGTCCTCTTTTGTCTTTTACATTTCTGTACCTTACATATCTATCTATCACCACCATTGGACAACACCAACAACACCCTTCAGACCATTTGAAACATTGACTGAGTGGTCAAAATCAAGCCACGTGGTGTTTCACTGCATACAAACTATATATCAAGAGATTTGACTCGTTAACAGTGGCCGTAGTACCCCGCAGTATGCCATGTCACCTTTCAATGTTGTGTGTGCCTTATGGTCTGACTTTATTTACTTGAAATCCTAACATCACCTCGAATTTCCCATCATCATCATCATACAACAGCAATGTCTGACAACATATCAACCATCTATGCGAAGGCTGTGGCAGACGCCCAAAGAGCAGTTCAATATGTCCTCGAGAATGCTCCAGGAGCATATGAAAGAGGGAAAGATGCTGCCGCGATTGCTGCTGCTAAGGTTCAACCTGCTCTTAACTCCGCTTTGGAGAAAACCCCAGTTCTCATGGCAAGATCCAGAATAGCGGCAGAGCAGTTGTATCAAGATGCTCCCAGGCATCTAAACACCGCGAAGGATGTGGCAGGACAATTATATCAGGATGCTCCAAGGCATTTAAACACCGCAAAGAAAGCGGGTATCAATGCTCTTGAGCATCCTAGGCATTCTGCAACAACAGCGTTAGCCACCTTGGGGCCTATCGTTCGCAAGCACCCATATGCCAGTGTTTTTGGAGCCTGGGCAACACTAGCCGTGGTATTCGGGCCCTTCTGGCCTATTCGTGCTCTATTGAGAGTGTTTGGATTTGGTAAAGGTGTCTCTCCTGGTAAGCAGAATTTGATCGGTTACATGCCGGCACAAGTACTGACAGAGTTGTAGGATCCAATGCGGCATCTTGGCAATCTCGACAAGGAAACGTGCAACGCAATTCATGGTTTTCTTTATTTCAATCATACGGAGATAGATTAAATTAAGCTTGGGTCGTCAGTCTTTAAAAATAAATTCACGTTGATACAAAGTTTAAGAGTCGTTTGTGAGATCAAATGAAAAGATTTATCTTGTATTTGTCTCATAATAACTCTTCCCTGTTTGAGGACTCATAGATAAATTCAGTTTGTTCCCGACTGTCTGAATTTGTTTCTGCGTTTATATATTTCCCTCTCGCTATTCTTCTTTTATATTCTTCTGTCTATTGCATGAGCGTGAAAGAGCCCTTGCCCATGAGAATTGTGTTCTCAGGTGCTTTGGATGACAAGTCCTATGTCTGTTCATATTTCCGCCCAGACAGCTCAAACATCAAACATGATTTACGCATGAACAGATGCGTCGGGTAGATCACATCCGTATCCAATATTTGTACTGGAACCAGAAGTTTCTGTATCTATTGTGAAGAAGAGCGACCTCGTGGAAGGGGAATTCTCTAATCTTTTGTCCTAACAGAGTTGTGCTGGGAGACTTAAATTCTCTCTGGAAGCTCAGTGAATTCAGTTTATCAAGTTGTTATTTGGGTTTGGGTGGACCCTAGTATTTTAGGTCAACATATTTACGCAATGATTACTTTCGCCTGCTTGACCAGCAACTAAAATTTCATCAATATTATTCATATTAGTTGCTCTTCTTCAGTAGATGCGAATTTCGGTGGGCAAGAAACCGCCCGATTCCTCTCGCGCCTTTCTTTTTCTTCCTTCATTCTTCATCTCTTTGACTCATTTCCATGTTCTTATCTCTTTCTTGGAGCTCCGGTAAAAATTCAAAGTGAAGTTTGCAGTTGTTCCATTTGATGTGCGGAAAAGATAATGGATAGGAAACTAAATGTTTCAACCCGTAGTGGGCCAACGCATCAGATTTCTCTCGAAAATAAATGGCAATTTGCACCAGGTGGCCCCCTTTGAGTCAAATAATTTGAGTAGCTTTCAATTCTTCTCGCCCTTGGGCCTTCTGGTACTGTTTCAGGAAGGGTCCAGATGGAGAGGAAGGACTTCGCACTTTCTATCATGGCCCTGATACTACACCCAAGTGATTGGCGGGGAGTCAACTGGTGCTGCAGGGAAACCCGCAGGGCTATACTGATATTGTACTACCTGAAGGTAATAAGGGACAGCAATATCAAGGGGGGTCAGCAGCAGTGTAGATATCCTCCAGCTCTTCCGCTTCTCCAATCAAAAACTTAACATGATCCTCAAAAACGCCAGGGGCGTTGCAAACATCAGCAATAACACCAGCCGTCTATAAGAAGTGTTCAAAGTTCACGGCACCCCGAGCAATCAAAAAAGAAGACGCAAGCGAAAATCCAAGGTAAGAAAGTGATCTCAAGACATCGGTGTGGAAATAATAAGGATAAATCTGGTTGCGATTGAACTTATGGTTGGCAATTATAGAAGGGGAAAGAAGGAAGGAAGCGAGCCTTTCATCTACAGTAGATGCACTTTTATAACTTTATAGAAACAGTACGTCCTGCAGTGCTCAAATGTGGATATTAGAATTTTGTATGCGTATTGTTGTTATACCGTGGATCAATTCATGTCAAGTGACAAACAGAACTGCACTACAGAATAAGTTTATTCTCAAAACATCGAGATTTATTAGAAGACTAGCTGTCGGAGCACCACAGGTTATATGGACTTGGCATTGTTTTAGACCACAACAAAGATTTGGGGTGCATGTTACTTTAATATCCTGTGCATTTTGAGATTTATTTAACTTTGTGAATGATCGATGGTCGTTAAAATAGCAAAAGCTTGATTGTCTTGCTGTTTGACCTATTTTTCGAAGACCCATTACTGTTGGCTCAAATTGTACGATCTTCTTGGTAAATACTGCGTCACTAATATGGCTAGGGGTTGATCAGTGAAAGAGAAGAATGAGCAAGGATATGCATAGATTTTGCCGGCAAAAGAACGCAGCTACAAGCAGGGAAAGAAGAAGTGGCTGTAATTTACCAGGAACACCAATGAGATAGTTGAAATTTAAGTGGTATTTTAAACTTTAGATGGAGGTGGTGGCTTATTGTTTAAAGAGAATGAAATGCCAAGAAAGAATCATTTATGTAATAAGGGGTTTTTTATGCTAGTCATACCTTTTTTGCATCACATAGTTTCATTGTCAAGGGAATCTCGGTCTAGTAACCAGGCTCATCATCATAATAGCTTTCTCATTGAGAGGTTTCCCTCTGTCTTTTCACTGTCAACTTGGCTTCAATGTCTAGTAAGTATGCTTCTTCATTTCAGCTTGATTGTTGTTATCGTTTCATATCTCAATGTAAAGTCCAATGATTAGTTGTATTATGTAGCTAGATTTAAGTACTTTTCTCAACATAGGTTTCCAGGCTCGCTTCACCCCTTCATCAAAATAATGATTTCTTTGTCTTGCCTTTGTAATTATTTGCTTCCTTTGGTTCTTTCAATGCCTCGACAAAGTGCCGGAAGCAGATGACTTCAAAGCATGGCTTTGTTCCTTCTCTTCACATATCATGGTAGGATATTTCGTTCCATTCAACGAGGCTTTGAAAACTACTTTTTCCTGAACAACAACATCTCGAATCTTTTGGGAATCAAAATAAAGATGGCTGCCGTACCACAGGAAGAGAATGTGCCAGGTGGGGGGGCTGTAATTATAGACGTGAATGTGGATGTGGACGAAGACACAGACAGCTCTACCGAGGGGGGTTGGCAAGATGTAGGCATAAGTACTTTAACAGGACAATCAGACTCCATGGCAGTTAGGGTGTTGCGTAAGTATTAATCTCTTCAAAAGTCCTTCAACTTCACTTGATCCCCTTATTTTGCAAAGAGAAAGAGTACGAACGCTAATCAAATTTTATCGTCCGCAGGCGCATTTCGTGCTAACACAATCCGTCAAAATAAATGGTTTAAAGACAATCCACACAACTTGACAGGGGATAATATAGAAATTGACGCGTGTATTGCCAGTGGATCATTTGGACTTGTCTTCCGCGCCGAGAACAAAGATACCCGTAGTGAGGGAAAGCCCGGGATTAAATATGCTATTAAAATTTCCAAACTTCGATTAGAGTCGGAGGCTAACCTTGACTACGATATGGGCTCAGATACCAGTCCCATTCTTACACGCACCAGTGAAGCTTCAGTTGCTGATCCGAAGGAAATGAAGGAATTGAGTTTATCCTCCAAACGTGGAAGGGAGATAACGACATTCCTTCAATATATCAAATCAGGGCACCCTAATGTCACGAATATGGCTGGTTGGGCTGAATTCGACATCTTGGGAAACCCCTTTTCTTTGATTGTCCTAGAGATTTGCGATCTCGGCACTCTTTTAGACATGGTACACGAATTTCGAGAGAGGGACGAATTCATACCCGAAGGATTTATCGTGAGTTTAACACCATCCTATCTTTGTCGAGCAGAGATATAACTAATCTCAACCCTCAGTGGCACGCTTTCGAACAACTATTCAGCGGCCTTGCATTTCTTCATGGGGAGCATCCCGATTACATAACAAAACCAGAATTTGCGGGACGTTTAGAAATGACTGTCGCTCGCGATATTAAAGCAAACAATGTCTTCATACAATCACTCCCTGCAAATTCTCCCCCGAATACATATCCGACTGTCAAATTGGGAGATTTTGGCGAGTCCCTACATCTACCCAGACATGGTACTCGCGATTATAATTTCGGAAATAGTACTTGTGATCCACCAGACAATAAGATGAGTGCAAAGTATGATGTGTGGTCCGTAGGCTCCATGATATATATGGTGGCTAGGAGGGGACGTTATGCAAACAGAGGGTGCTCCCTGGTAGACTCGTCTGGAAAGGTCATTAAGTTTCATCGCGCGAAACCAGAACAAAGAGAACTTCTACTTGCTGCGCGAAATAACGAATCGAGGTTTGAGCCTATTAACGAGCATTTGACTTTACAGTTAGAAACCGAGATTAGATGGGCCATGACACTTAACCGATTTGATCGACCGACTGCTGTGGAAGTATATCTCAGGGTACAGAAGCTCAACGACCAGAGGAAGAAATTCATGTATAGGGAATTGCCATCTTGGGCCCCAGAATTGCAATTGCAGCGAGAATACAAACCCCTTGAATTGGTAAAGATGAACTGGATGATTGAAGACGCGGAGGATAGAGACTTTTTATTTGAATATTCAGGAGGGCTCATGGTGCGGAGGACAGAGAGAGAGAGGAATAGGGTGCGGAGAAGTATTGCTGAGCAGCACGCGATGGTTCAGAGAAGGAAAAATGAGAAACAACGCGAAGTTGATTTGAGAGCCGGTATAAAAGACCACGCGGAGCTAGATCGGGCAAGGAGAAGGGTGGTTGAGCAAGAGGAAATTGGCAAGGTTAATAACGAGAGGAAGGAATACGGGGGTTGGCTGAGGTCTGGGCATAAGAGGAGAAAATTAGAATATCATAGGGGTAGGGCGCATTGGGTTGATTGAGGGTGGGAACATTTGGATGAAGGACCGCGTAAATTGTGTATGTTAAAAAAAGCGAGTGGATGCAGTAACAAGGGGGCTATACTAGAACATTCAAGGTGACGCAATTGTATTTATTTAGTCTAGCTCTGTCAAATCTATCCGCAAGGACATCATTATCAATACTTTTATACAATATTTTGTATCATGAGCAGATTACCTGCTACATCAATTTTTGACAATCTAACATTTCAAAGATACTCGAACGTTCATTTTGATGAGATAAATCTCATAATAATACATCGGGAAATATAATTGAGTGTCCATTCTGCCGTGCTATATGTCTCTCTCGAGGAAAGAGTAGAGATTCTCTGAGATGCATCTTCCTAACGAGGCAAAGATAATGGTGGGGATTTTTCTTCGAAAGATTGGCTGAATAAGCTATGACCTGGTTCATTTTTAGGGCTTAGCTACCTAGTAGATTTAAATTTATTTTCCTAAATAATTACAAGGTATTTTCGATACATGTTTTTCAGTATTGATGTCAATGTAGGTAGATAGTATCTTTAATTTATAGCTTTTTCGATTTCCAAAAAATTCCTCTTAGAATAAATAAGTAATTTCGTAGTAGAATAAGCCGAAGAGAAAGAGGCCCGTGGTACATGTGAACATGACGCACCCAGTGACCGTTCTCAGCTGCTTTCTATTCCGAGACCTCGCTTGGCTAACTTTGGATGTTTAATGCACATATACATCCCTTCAGCTCTTCAACCTCCATGCCATATC